TAGAAAATAAAAAAATTCCTTATAAAGAAAAAGTGCATTTTATAAACAACAGGGCTACAATAGGACTGTTTTCACCCCAGCTGCACGGAAATGTTTCAAAGGTCTACAATTCGAAAGATAAGATAGTGAAACTTATACTAAATGACAAAAATCTTAGAAAAACTACTGAAGCCAATACTATGGCACATAATTTCTCTTTTGGGGGAAGAGAGCAATTAGATATTTAAGACTTATAGTTTGCTGCCATTAGTCAATTAAATTTCATAATGTAAAATTAATATATAATATGAAAAAGATTTAAAGCAGCAAGAGCTCTGAGCCGGCTGTTTCCTTGATGCTGAACGGGTGTGGACGAATGAAAGCCAAGTCCGACCTGACGGAAAGCCATCTGGTCAGCACCCCAGAAGCTGAAGTAAACAGCCATGTCTCCAGTGACTGCAGTCACGTAGGAGGCCTGGGAATGTTCTTTGAAAAGAGCGTTCTCAAAATATAGAGATTGGGGAGTAAACGGCCATGTGTTTCCTGCCCTTGAGTTCCCTTGTTCCCTCTTGAGTTGTAGGAACAAAAGCAATGTGCGCACCAAGCACTGGGCTCTTTGTTCTTAGAAGCATCGAGTCGCCCACACCCACTTGTCCTGGTAATTGGCTACTTTGTCTTCATTTCTGCAGAGCAGCTTCCACTTGGTTTGGGGTTTGCTGTGCTGAGCTGCAATCAGCACTTTTAATTAACAGAAAAATTTCACAAATATCTCTGATTTCAAGATGGATCAGGAAATAAAAGAAGAAAGTATCAGAAACCATAGGAAGTAGTTGAATTTTCTTTGTAAATGTTTTAATCAGCAATTTCCTACATAAGCTCCTGGAGAGTTCTATTTGAAAACAAAGAAAAAAACTACAAAAAATTTACCTCTCCAAGTATTGAACCTCGTGGCACAATTGTAGCTTTATCGATAGGCATTGCATCTTTTGTATAATATGCAATAATAGCATGACCAGATTCATGATATGCTGTGACGATTTTGTTTTTGTTATCAATTTCCACACTTCTTCTTTCAGGCCCTAAGATAAAAATTTAATGTAGTAAAAAATACTCCATTAGAAAGGTGTATTTAAATCAATGACACCCATTTTCATTTCCAAATCAAATACAGTTGCCCTCCCTACCCACGTGTTCCACATGTATGGATTCAGCCATCTGGGGATCAAAGATATTTGGGGGAAAAAAACATGATAAAAATAATACAAATAAAAACCAATACAGTATAACAACTATTTACATAACATTGACATGCTATTAGGTATTATTAGTAATCTAGAGATGATTTAAAGTATCCAGGAGGATATGCATATGTTATATGCAAATAGCAGGCCATTTTATATAAGAGACGAGCATCCTTGATTTCTGGTAACCACAGAGCTCCTGGAACCAATGTCCCCGTGGATACCAAAGGGACACTGAGGGATGAATGTATCTGATAAAAAAGTAATATAAAAAATCATTCTCCTTGAAGCCATTCTTAAAGTAACAATATTATTA